AAAAGGCGTCTGTGGCCAATCTAGACGCGGTTTTCCGCAAAAAAGCCCCGATCGCCATTTTCGCGATCGGGGTTTTTTTGCAGAAAACAGTACTGTGCTGTCTACACTGGCCCTTTTGTGCAAAAGTCTTTTGGAAAAAGACTTTTGCCCGAACGGGAGCAGCATAGATCATCAGTGCTTACATGAGATCGTCAGTGCTTTTCCAGAAATTCAAGCAGCCAGTGTAGACAGCTGGCAACTTTTTCTGCAAAAGCAGATAATTTTGCGGAAAAACTTGCCAGTCTAGACACAGCCATGGTGACATTGCTCACCATTGGAACTTGGAATGTGCGCACGCTTTTGGACAACCCTACAACAGACAGACCAGAGAGAAGAATAGCCTTGGTTGCCAGAGAGCTTGCAAGATACAACACTGATATTACAGCCCTCAGTGAGACTCGTCTTGCTAATGAAGGTCAGCTAACTGAAACTGGAGTTGGATATACTTTTTTTGGAGCGGTCGTGGCACCGATGAGCATCGCAATGCTGGAGTCAGATTTGCCGTCAGGAATCACGTTGTTCGGCAATTTGCCAGTCTTTGCAAGGGTATGACACTACAGCTTCCGCTACAGAATAGAAACCAAGCCATTCTGATCAGTGCCTATACTCCCACAATGACTAACCCGAATGAGATGAACAGGTTCTGTGAAGAACTGGATTTCTTACTATCAGCTGTGAGTAGCACCAACAAGCTGATCCTGCTCGGTGACTTCAATGCAAGAGTAGGATGCGACTCAATAGCCTGGCATGGAGTGGGCAAATGTAACAGCAATGTCCTACTCCTACTGAAGACTTGTGCAGCACATGACCTCTTTATCACCAACACAACGTGCCGCCTGCCTACCCGGAACAAGACCTCTTGGATGCACCCCCGCTCTAAGCATTGGCATCTTATCGACTATGTCATTGTCCGGAGAAAAGACAGGCAAGATGTCAGAGTGACCAAGGCCATGTGTGGTGCTGATTGTTGGACAGATCACAGGCTCATTGTCTCCAAAATGAATCTCCGAATTAAAATGAAGAGGTGGCCACAAGGTAGCAAGCCCATAAAAAGAGTTAATGTGGCCAGGCTAAAGAACCTGAGTATAGCCTCAGCATTGACTAGGGATCTAGAAAGCAGGCTTTCTGACCTGCACCTTGCAGGCAGCGCTGCGGACGACTGGGAACTTTTCCGGAATGCAATCCACTCATCTGCATTGAAGATTTTGGAACCCTCTTCACGCAAGCAGCCCGACTGGTTTGATGAGAATGATGGGGAGAAATTGTGTCTACTTGCTGAAAAGCACCGCCTTCATCGTGCACATCAGAACGATCCATCATCAGCTGCCAAGAAGAACGCCTTTGCAAATGCTCGCAGGACAGTCCAGAACAAACTGTGTAAAATGCAGAACGCTTGGTTAAGTGACCAGGCAGCTGAAATTCAGGGGCATGCTGACAGGAATGACCTGAAACGGTTCTATGCAGCCCTTAACACTCTCTATGGACCTCAATCTCTCAGGAGCTATCCCCTTATTAGTACAGACGGTACAACTCTGATTACAGAGAAGGCTCAGGTCCAGCAGAGATGGGATGAACATTTTGAAGACGTCCTCAACCGACCGTCATTTATCAACAACGAGGCGATAGAGGATTCCTCAAGTTGACATCAACGGCGCCATGGATGATCCACCGGTAGTTTCACAAGCTGTTAGCCAGCTATCCAGGGGCAGACGCTATACTGCAGAGGTCTATAAAGCCAGTGGTCATGTATTCACAGAGAAGCTCACCGAGTTGTTCCAGTCTTTTTGGGAGCAAGGATCCATTCCTCAGGAACTCAAGGATTGTACACCTCTGTAAGAGGAAGGGCAATCGACAGGTATGTGACAATCATCTGGGAATTTCACTGCTTTCCATCGCAGGTGAAATCCTTGCAAGAGTGATGTTAAATTGTTTGGTTACTCATCTGGAGTGTGGCCTCCTACCGGAGTCACAGTCCACTGCAGGTAAAATCCTTGCAAGAGTGATGTTAAATCGTTTGGTCACTCATCTGGAGTGTGGCCTCCTGCCGGAGTCACAATGTGGCTTTCATAAGGGCTGCGGGACTATTGACATGATCTTTGCCACGCGCCAACTTCAGAAGAAGTGTCAGGAGCAGAATCGTGAACTTTACACAACCTTTGTTGACCTCACGAAAGCCTTCGACACTGTCAGCCGACAAAGTCTGTGGAGGATCATGTCAGTTTGGCTGCCCCCCAAATTTATTCAGATGGTACGCCAGTTTCATGATGGCCAGAGTGCTAGACAGTGGAGAATCTTCTAAGGCCTTCCCAGTCACCAATGGTGTCAAACAGGGCTGTGTATTCGCACCTACACTGTTCAGCATCATGTTTACTGCTATGCTGAATGATGCCTTCCAGGACAGCATTGCCAGAATCAGCCTCAAGTACAGAGTGGATGGGAATCTTTTCAACCTTAGAGACTTCAGGCTATCACCAAAGTGAAAGAGACTGTTCTGAGAGACTTCTTGTTTGCCGACGATTGCACCTTGTATGCTGGCTCTGAAGCAGAGATGCAAGTTAGTGTGGACAAGTTCTGCACAGCTTGTGACAACTTTGGACTCACCTTCAACAGCAGAAAGACCGAAGTCATGTATCAGCCTGTCCCTTATGCACCGTACACAAAACCCACAATCACAGTCACAGGGCGGATGCTACAGGCAGTGGACCAGTTTACTTACCTCGGCAGCACTCTCCCATGCAGCTAACATTGACATAGAAGTCACATGCAGAATAGCGAAGGCAAGTTCTGCTTTTGGTAGACTGTGCCCCACTGTATGGGAACGTCGAGGAATCAGCCAAGCAACAAAACTGAAGGTCTACAGAGCCGTGGTACTCACCACTCTCCTGTATGCCTGTGAAACATGGACTGCGTATCGGAGGCATGCAAGACAGCTTAATCACTTCCACATGACTTGTCTTCGCAGAATATTACGCATCGGATGGCAAGACAAAATACCAGACACTGAGGTTCTCTCTAGAGCAAGTTTACCATCAGTCCACACTCTGCTGATGAGTGCACAGACTAGATGGGCAGGTCATGTCATTCGTATGCCGGACGAACGTACCTAAGCAGCTCCTTTTTAGGGAACTCTCTACTGGTAAACGTTCGCGTGGTGGACAGAGGAAAAGTTACAAAGACACACTCAAGGCCTCCCTGAAGTCATTCAGAATTGATACAACCACTTGGGAATCGCTGGCACACAACTGCCCTGCCTGGCGCAGTCTCATCCACAAGGGATGCCAAGTTCTCGAAACAAGGCGCATCTCTGAAGCACAACACAAGCGCGTGCTGCGCAAGTCCAAAGCTATCAGCACAATGATTGCAATGCCTACACGTCTGCCCGACATGTTCCAGGACATTTGGTGCCCAAATTGGCCTGATAAATCATCTTCGGACACACTGTATCCAGTCTCAAAGCACTTAGTGGTGTTGAGGTCTTCATCGACCACGATGGATGAACAACTCGACTCAAACTCATGAAACATGACAAGCCTATTCGAGTTTACGTTGCTGTGAAGCATATAGCTTTGTGTAGTTTTCAATCCCCTCATCTCCAGCTTTGACACTGTGTTCTAGCAATAGAAACTTCATTTGCCTAATGTCACAGTGTTGAAGACTTACTTAAACTGCAGATGTCCTCTGAAACCTCAAGCATTGGAGCATGCATTAGTTACTCTTGTCAAAAAACTGAAACAGAGCAGACTGGCAGGAGCAGCAGTACTGATATTGTATGGCAATATGAATGGTGCTGCGTGAGTACTGCATACTCTCAATACTGCACTGGTGAAAGAATAAAATGTATTAGAGTCAGATATAATCCTGTTTACATATCTCTGCAGCTGCTGTTGGGTCTTCATACTAGGGATGTAAGAGACTAGTCGACTACCCGATAAGCATATGCATATGCTTATCAGGTGGCCAGGTAGCTGACTCGACTAGTTGCTTTTGCTCCTCTTGCTGCTTCTATCAGAGAGAGGCAGCAAGAGGAGTGGGGGAGGGAGTGAGAGCAGGCTTAAAAGCCAGTTTCTTCCAGCACCATCTGGGGAGGCAGAGGAGGAAGAGACATTTCTGGGACTGGGCACCAGCCAGGAATCAGCTGATTTCTGGCTCATGCCTGGTCCCAAATGCTGCACTTCTGCTTTTTAAATGTAGTAAGAACCTGCAGTTTCCCCCCTTATTGATTAATTGAGTAGTCAGTGGAAATTCCATTGACTACTTTATTAGCTGATTATATGCATTTTAACATCCCTACTTCATATATATTTCCAGTCTTTTTAGTGCTCTTGAAAGTGATACCTCAAGTAGCTGTTTTCTATGGACAGTGACCAGTTTATACAATCTGTAATAGATCATGGAAAACTTAATTTTTCAGTAATCTTGGAAAAAATTGGGCAGTGGCTGTGTTGGAGTTATAGGTCAGTTTTTACCCACATGTCCTCAAAATTGGGAAGCTTCCTAGAATCTGCTATAGGGAGGTCAGTGATTAGTCAACTGATAAGAATATGCATATTCTTATCAGATAGTTGACTAGTCGCTTCCCCCACCTTCCTTGCTGCCTCTATCAGAGAGAGGCAAGAAGGGAGAGAGCAGGAGACAGTGCTGTGAGGGGGAAGGGTGGGGGAGCGAAGCCAGTTTCCCCAGCACTGTCTCCATGAGCAGGAGGCAGGGGCGCAGAGGGGAACTTGTGGTGCTTCCGCCTTTGAAATGTACCAAGTGTGGGGCCCACCATCCCTGTGCTCTCTGCTTTTGAAATGTACAAGAGCCCTCTCTGCCCCGGGGATCTTGTACATTTCAAAAGCAAAGCATGCACGAGGCCAGCGGGGGATTGCTTGTTCCTGGCTCACCCCCTGCTCCTGTGGCACTTCAGTCTTGTTACATTTCAAAGGCGGAAGCCCTGCCAGTTCCCTGCTGCGCCTCTGCTCTCCCCCCCGCATTCTCCCACACAGAGACAGTGCTAGGGGGAACTGGTTTTAAGCTGGCTCCCCTCAGCACTGGCTCTTGCTCCCCCAGCCCTGTGCTCCCTGCATGTGCTTCGCTTTTGAAATGTAGAAGTGCCCCAGGGGGGCTCTTCTACATTTCAAAGGCAGGGAGCACAGGGCCAGCAGGGAACTGCTTAAGTCGCCCACCGGCCCCATGCTCCCCATGGCACTTCTGCCTTTGAAATGTAGGAAGAGCCAGCAGGAGCCAGCAAGCTCTTCCTACATTTCAAAGGTGGAGGTTCCTTTCTCAACTAATCAGATAGTTGATGCAGATTGCAAAATCCTGAGAGGGATTTTAGGTGGAGGAGGGGGTTGTGATCTGGGACAGGGTCTTGGGGTGCAAGAGAGGATTCTGGCCTGGTAGAGGAACACGATGAGGGGGTGAAGGGTCTGGGAGAGAGTTGTGACCTGGAGAAGGGAAAAAGGAGGTGCAAAATCAGGGAGGGAGTTGTGACTTGGAATATGTAGGGAGAGTGGGTATATAGTTTGGGTGGTGCTGGGGGCAGGTAGTTGGGGTAGTGCTTGGGGGGGAGAGAGGATTTGGGGGTGCCAGAGGCAGACTATTGCTGGGAGGCACTTTCCTGCAGGAAGCCGCCTAGATATCTGAGGCAGGCTCTCTGCCTGTCTGCTGCAGTTCTAGGCTATGCCATGTGGTTCTGCTCCGGGCAGTGGAGGGGGGGTGGAAAACAAGAGGGAGGGAGGCTTCACACACTGCCCCAGCCCCCAGCAAAATTTCTCAGCTCCCATTGGCTGGAAACTAGCCAATGAGAGCTGGGAGATTTTGCTGAGGGGGAGCGTGTAGTGTGCAAAGCTTCTACCCTTGGTCCCCAGCATCCAGAGCAGAGAGCAGGCCGCCGTTTTCAGTGTGAGCTGCTGTCTGCCTAAGAGGCCCGGCAAGGCAGATCCTACCAGGCCACATCTTACCCACCCCAAGTTTAGGAGAAATTCTTGAACTAACTGACTCAGCTGCACATTTCTAAAATATATAGTAAGACTGGGGGAAATGGCAGAAACAAGTAAGCTGAAGCCAGGCTGCTCTTAAATGTTTCTCTTTGGGCTTTCCTTTCAGGTAGAGAAGCTAAAAAAAGAATGCAAGTCCAGGAAGTCTCGTGCTGAAGAAACACAAGACAGACTGAGTGGAGTTAATGAGGTGAAAGTAACAACCACTGTGACGACCAGGGGAAAAGATGCTGGTCCCATCAAAGTGAAACCTGGAGAAAAAAGCCGGAAAAATCTTCAATTGTTGCGGGACATGCAAAGTATACAGACTTCGCTTCAGAAAGATGACATCAGCTGGGATTATTGATTTTTGTCCTGGGTGACATTTTCCTTAAACTCCACCAGTCTGAACTTTACTTCTCAAATTCCAGGTCTAAAAGAGATACCTTTCCTACTGTGTGAAAGAGACTACTGTATACGAAGTGCACTTTTTAAATGTAACCTCCCATTTTGCATCTGTAGGTCTGATTTTATTATGGTCCTAATCCAGGCACAACACAGGTGGGAGAAAGCAAGCTTTGATTTTAATTCATCTAACTACTGAGTCTCTAATCAACCTTCCATTATCTCCCCCTTTGTGAGCTGTACCTTAAGTCTTTCTTTCTCGCCTCCTTCTTCCATGCCTGCTGCAAGATGTTTTATTTTGTTGCTCACATGGGTTGTCTAAAAAGTACATGTGGCTTCACAACTCGCACTATTCAACTCTTGTGCATAGTGTTGCTTAAAGCCATATCAGTTAGCACAGTCTCTGAGAACATAAGAAAAAGCAGGAGAATCTCTTAAGTGTTTTACTTTACTATTCAGTTCCTGGTCTGGTTCTTTCCATTAGCTAATACTGATTGCAGTGGGACACTTCAACTCACTCAGAAAGAACAAAATCTTTTGGAGTAGTTTTCCTTACCAATTTACTCTTACTTAATAGTAATGTCTTTTCAAACTGGAGAGAGAAATATGCCTTCACTTCATGACTTTTCACTTAAAGTGTGATGTGGAACATTGGGATAAAATCTATCAATTACTAGCGCACTTTGGCTGAAGGGAGAGAGTGCAGATATTTTTAAATTGAAGTGCCTCAATCATGTCATTCAATCCTGGCAGCTTGCTTAATTTTAACTTGAAATATTATTCACTTTGACTTGGAGATCTGCTTTGGCAGGGGTAGGAGTGCTAATTGTCTTGCACACCTAAGTGAATGTTATTTATTATATTAATAATGTAAAAAATTTCATAGTAATGGAGAGTACTGAAGACAGACTGAAATTACCTGTGTTTATAAAGTTGCCATTAGAAATCAATAAAGTTATCTTGCAAATCTGAATGAGGTAAGTTGAAATTTCTCATTACTAGCCTTCTGTCTAGCTGTAATTTGTTACTCCTCATGAAACACTGATGCAATTTGCTTTTTGAATTGAAAATCAGACTTACATCCTGCTGTACTAAGTCACCACAAACACTGCCTGAGCAAAGGCGTTCGGTGGCAGTAGTAGGGAGGAAGGCTAGGTAAGTAGTTAAGATGGAAACGTGGCACTTAGACCTGGGTTAAATTTTCATGCTCTGCCATTGGTATCTGTGTAACCTCAGGCAAGTGATTCATATTCTGTTCCTTGGTTTCCCTACCTCTGATAGGTTTTTCAGCATAAGCCCCTTGCATACTAAAAAACCACAGCCACTCATCATTCAGTATTAATCTTCAGGAAACAATATTATTTTAAAGAGACAAATGCATACCTTGTGGAACTGCTAAAGTGAGGGTAGAGAGGTAAAAGACTTATACTGCACTGTAGTATCTAAGAACCTAAAAAAGACCCATTTTATTTAGTGACAAACTGAGGAGGCCAGGCCAATTGTCTCTCTTTCACATGAACTAACTGCATTGATTTTTCTCCACCAATCTGATTTTTTTGAAAGTCCCATTAAGGATCATGTTACCATAACAAAGGCAGTGATGTTTACACTTCATCTTAATGCTAGACAATCCACAAGAGCAAAGGCTTCAACCTAATGGTTTGACACAGCTGCAGGATTAAAAGGCGCCAGGCTCACAGTAGAACACAAGTAGCTTTCCAAAGGAAACTACACTACCTTTGGGAATGCAGTCCCTCAGAGGTAATATCACTGTACTAACTGCGCAAAATCAACCAAACTGATCTACACACAGCTCCAAAAGGAAATGAGATCCAGAGGCAAAGCTAAAAAGTCCTGATAAATATGTTTCCTTTGCTACACTCCCCTTCCCCCCACCCCCAACCTCCTCATTCTGTATTCAGAAAGACACGACATGAAAAAATTCAGCTCAACAAAAGTAATCACCAGAAAATTGACTTTTCACTCTGATTTCTACAAGAACGTTATTAAAATTGATTTTTGGATAAAGTTTAATTGATCATTATGCCAGTGAGAGTGATTCTTTGCTCCTAGTACACTGTACTCTTCTCTTACAGAGTAAAGTATTTAACTAGTGCTGAAATATTACACTAGCATCTACACAATGCCATCAACTGACCACTACTTTTACGTTGCGATTGTAATACATGCAGGAAGCTTTCTTTGGTCAATGCACTTACTGTTAACATAAATAAAACTGTCAGTTTGAATTTTAAATACATCATAATCCCACACTGCAATATGGAAATAGCTGTTTACACTTACCTAAGCAAAATGAAATTGAGCTGATCCCAGCAAGTGTTGCCCTTGCCACATTTTATATCCTGTATTTTGCCACCTCTCATATACGAGGCATAGAAAAAAAATAGCTGCAGAAACTAGTGGGGGATCTGTTTCCTATCCCCTCGTTAATCAATATTTACTTCATAGTACTGAATCAATTAAAATAAGTTATGACTCCTGGGGGGTAGGGGGGTGAATGTAAACTGTCCCAGAATGGACAAGCTAAGGGATACTAGGGAGGTGGGCTCATCCACTGCCATAGGTAGAAACTGCCCTTCCTGTAAATAAGGCATCACTTTGCAGCATTAGGTATACACAGACTTCGTAGTTTAAGTTCGACTTTCACAACAGAAGTAAACTTGGCCTAATTTGCTCGGATGTATAAAAGTGGTGGGGAAGAGCCAATCTAACTGAACAGCAAAAAGCATTCTATTATTCAGGTCCTATCACCATTTGTCTTTCAGTGATATGTTGGCAAAACAATTCAACTGACAGCTGTATGTACACTGATAAGTCAAATTATTCAATGGCTATGTTCTGTTTGAGTCAGATATGAGTTCTGTAGATTGATTTCCTACTTCAGTCTCTTTGTTTCCTTTCAATAAGGTAGAGAATTTTCAAACTCCTCCTCCTCTGTAGATATTTTCCTTACTGAATACTTCCTTCCAGTGCAAGAGTCTCTCATTCAAAGCAAAATGACTTCCAACAGCTATGTTGCTGAGAGCTCCTGGTTTTGTTTTCAGGTGGCAAATACAGTTAGTTTTAGCCACCAAGGAGATTGCATAGGGGTCTGCCCATTTGTTTTTGCTTAAGCTTCCACTAGTGCTACAGTACTAATAAATTACCCTGGAGAGAAATGTAATAAATAAGATTGTTGGTGTCTCCAAGACACCAGGACTTAAATTTCAAAGAGTTTCCTACTAGAAAGACTGCCCTTATCAGGTGGTCCAGGAAGTACTTAACAGAAGTCCGTGTTATACAACTGTCTGTACAGGAGTGACGCACTGTGCTGGAGAGCCAGCTCTCTCTGAGGATGAGGTTGATCGGTTGGTAATTTCCCTCTGAAGCTCCTCCACTTTCTTCTGCAGCTCGGCCCGTTTGGCAAGAAGTTCCTTATATCGACTGTGGACGGGCTCCTGCAACACAAAAGAACATGCAGAGACCATGGCTGCTAAACTACTAGATGTCATTACTGCCTATTTATCCTTTTTTTATTTGTAGGGTATAAGAGTTATGCACCCTCTCCTGCCACCCACAGATCTCTAAACCACTTTAATTAATTGTTCTAACTTCCACATAACTTGCCACTTATCTGTCCCTTGTGCTTTTGGGACCTGCTAGTCCCAGGACCCTAATGCTTATTGGCCTCAGCAGCTATATTTTATTTACAGTACTGATTTGGGAAGGAGACAAACTAACAAAATACATGGTGAGAATTGTAAACACTGAAACCTGCAGATCTCTCCATCACCTATCCTCTTGGCATCTCAATACTGTTGTCTGCCTAAAGTTAGGCGCCAACGTCTATTTAGGCCTGTAAACATTTCAAAAGTGCCTAAGGGCTTGTCTCTTCTACTTCAGAGATTGAATCTGCAGTGATTGAGCTACCTGCTATTGATTCATCACATCGCTTTATTGTGATTCAGACACAATAAAGCGCTCTCCCATTGATGCCAGTATTCCACAGGATGAAAAGAGTAGCCAGCGTTAACAGGAGAGCAGCCCCTGCTGCCCTTACTATGTGCAAGAAGCCGCGTTAAGAACGTCCACTTCAGCTATATTAGGTTGGTCTTGGTGTTTTTGAAAATATTACTCCTGCAAAAGTGATTTGATTTCTCATAGTGCTGAGCACTGCAACTCCCAGTGACTTCCACTCCATTGATGCAGAAATCTAACATCAGACACTCCGTTCTGGCTGATTCGTTTTAAAATTGAAGTCAGGCTCCCACTTCAATGGGTTACAAATGTTGCAGGTACGTTGCTTGCAATTAAGTTTTGTTTTTAAACTGAAGTGGTGGCAGCCTGGGCGTGGACAGCACAGCTTCCTTTTGTACGGCTCCCAGGAGCCAAGGTGACCAGTTCATTAGCAACACCAGAGACAAGATTTTAGACATTTTTAACAGTATTTTAGAAATAAAATGATCACCTGTGATTTCATCCTTGGATTCCATCTGATGTAATATCCCACCCAAAGCTCTAGGTGGCGCATGCTGGCCACAGGATACAAGACATGGTTGGAGTAGCACACATACAAGGGATTAGTGAAGTCTTCAAGTTGGCTATTGATGTAAGACCACAGTGACACAGTCTTTTTTGGAAGGCTCTTTAAGGAAAAAAGAAAAGCTGTTTTACATACCCAGCCACATGAACACTAGTATTTATCTACACAGCTTTAGGAGTATTTATACCAGCATATACATGTGTTTACTATTAATAAAAATCTGGCTGCCTTTTCATAGCTAAAACCCCACACTTTATACTTTTCTGAAGTGGTTTCTATAATATAAACACATACAGGCAGGCATTTACACACCCTGGCATGCAAACATCCCTTATTCCCAACATCCCACAACACAATCAAGGAAATCACCATTAGCACACAAAGGGGAAGGCTACCCAGAGAGGAGATGGGGTTCTTTGAAAGACAGGAGGAAAGCTTAACCAAAATAATCATTATTTTGGTTAAGCTTCCCATCTTTCACATGCTCCCAAAGGAGGGCCCAGTGTATTTAACTGTAAGGAAAAAGCATGTGTTTTAGGCCTCAATCTAACAAGACGGCTTCAGTATGTGAGTAGGTATACTGAAATCACTGGGACTACATAAGTCTCAAAGGGGTAGCTATGTGAGCCTGTATCTGCAAAAACAACGAGACCTGTGTCATTTATTAGGGCACAAAAGCTTATGTCCTAATCTGTTAGTCTCTAAAATGCCACCGGCCTCCTAGTTGTATTTGGGACTGCATAATGTGCGTGAGTATTTTTCTAGATTGATGGCCTTAAAGAGATAGTGAATAGAACATATGTTGCTGCCTTGGAATGACAAATATTCAAGCCTCACGTACCCTGGCAAAACTGGGACACAAAACTCACCAGCAATATGATTTTAATAGTGATTTTAAGCATGATGCTGTCAAATCCAGCTCACTGCAGGTCTATGCAATACAGCAATTAAATGCCCTACCCTAGACTAGGCTACTGCCTGAAGCAGTAGTCTAGTCAGGGTTAGAGTGCTTAGAATTAGAGATGCCAATTTTCCTAGTGTAAATGAAACCTTTTTGTAATTAAATGATGCTTCCAACTTTAATAAGCTGAGACTGAACATCATTCATGTCCCTTTTGATCTCAGGTTGGAGTTGTACATGTAGCTTTAGATAAGTGTGTTAAGTCATACAACTGCACACAACATTCCTCCACTTGCACTTGGGGTCTTGCAGAGCTTATAGCAGTTAACAGAAGTTAATGGTTGAAGGAGCCTTTAGAGAGTCTGAATACACTGAAATGAACACAGGTATGAAGTGCAGAAATTAAGCTACAGGTTGGACCTCCTTTGTTTGGCACCCTTAAGAACCTGATTGGTCCCGGATAAGGGATTCTACCTGATCAGGGCAGGTCATTTCTGGCTGCCCTGATGCCAGCCCCATCCCCTCCCCTGCCACTCTACCGGCTCCCCTATGACTTCCCAGTTGGGTTGTGCACTGGGCTTCCTGCCCCCCCCACCCCTCCTCTACAAAGCCCAGCTAAGCCATGTGCCAACTCCTGACCTCCCTAATCCCCCGCAGCCCAGCTTAGCTGCACACCTGGCTTCCCATCTCCCACCCTCCCGCACCTCTGCAACCCAGCTGGGCTGCGCACCGCCTCCGCCCGCCCTGGCATTGCTGGACCAGAGTGTTCTGGTTTATGGAGGTGCCACCAGTTTACAAAGGGAAAGAATCCTGAATGCCAGCTATTCAGATGGAAGATCTATCAGGGTCAACAGTTACTCGCACCGGAGTCACTGGGAGAAGGAACAATTCCATCCGCATCATTCGCCCATTTTAGGAACATTGATGAATTGCATTCACCTTGGAAAAAGGCAAGGCCTTACCTCCTTCACTCTCTGCTGCTCACTGCTATATAGGAATGTCCCAAACAAGCAGCTGTACAGGTGGTCCAGAATGATTATCAGGAAACAGTCATTGAATTCAAATGCTGTAGGAAACTTCAAACACAACCAGGAAGATTACTTGTATTTTTTTAGTACATTGCTTGTTGCTAACGAACACACATATCACCAGAGTCATGAGCTTTTGTGGGCACATCCGTTCATCTGAAGAAGTGGGCTGTGACCACGAAAGCTCATGATACCATTTACATATTTTGTTAGTCTATAAAGTGCTACCAGACCATTTGTTGTTTTTTAAGTTTTTCCTGTTACAGACTAACTTGGCTACCCCTCTGAAGCTTTTGACACACATCACTGTAATGGCCAGTCCTGTTAATGAGCTGAATATGTCCTCTCTGCATTTCTAATACAGGATTCGTTTGTGTGACTTGGCTGCCTCTGTTTCCAAAATCATATTACAACTTTCTGAAAGCAAATGCTTCTCTCAAAAATCTGCTTTCCATGTGCAGCAAGGAATTCTGAGCAAAAGCCAGAGGCCTGAAGGATCTGACCACTGTATTTATATACACTCAGAGCTGCTTAAACTGGAACTTGTCTTTTAGGGAGGTCTCTCTTGCCAAAACTTTAATGAGGCTACGAACAAAAGGGTGCAGCAGATATAAAATAAACAAGCTCTACACAGCAATGAAAGCTGCATCTGTTTAAATGGAAACAATTCATGCAACCAACTGAGAGTTTTCCATGAGGATGCAGCAGGAGGCCATGAAACCAGTTGCCATAGTCTGTGGGAATCTAGGAATTGCCATCACATGTAAGGCCTTAATATTGACTGAAGCCTCGAGGTGCTACTGAAATACAAATGTAGAACAACAATCGGAGCTGCTTGGGAAACAGGTACAAAATGTCCCATTTTCCCCCTTTTCTTTTAAAAAATAATTGTTCAAAATGTCATCAGAACTTTTCTGAATATTGAATAATTCTGACTCGCTTTACAGATGTTGGAAAACCTGGGGGAGTTATGAAAAAATGGGGACACAGATTTTAAGCTGTGGGACAGCTATGCAGTAAGGAATGGGGGTTGCATATGGAGTTGCGTGTGTGCATATGATGGTTGAAAGTGAGGAAGAGAGGACACAAAGAGATAGCAGGAAACCTTGTTCTATAATTATTACCAGCCCGGGTTTCTGAGCCCTATTCCTGAGGTTAGATGGTATAACAGGTTTTTCCTATCTCTGATGCCTGAGTCTATGTCATTGGCTGCAGTTCAGTCCATCCCAAACACCTCCTCCTCATAAGGAAATTGATGAGAGGAGGATTCAGAATACCACTGAGAAGAATGCTTTAGCAACATCCAAGAAAGGGACATCCTGCCACCTCTTCTGTTTGGACACTGAAAAGCATAATCAAAAATAACATCTGTGTTCACCATTTTATTGTAGATTAGGGAGTTTTTTCAGTGGTGTCTTGATACCTTTGTCAAAAGGATAAAAATATAATCTAAAGACCTTGTTGCACTAGCCAAATGGAGAGTGGTCACAGTGGCACCGCTCCCACTCCCAGGCCCTAGAGATGTTCCCTCCAGAGCAGGGGAAGTTTAAGTGTCCCTGCTTATACAGTATCTGCTGTGGGGGTAAAGAAGCCTCCTGTGCTGATAATCATGCACAATTTAGGATCAATGCTCCCACTTTCAGAAGTTAAAGCAAAACAAAACCCAGTTGGCTTTAGTCTCTTCTCTGCTCTCATACAATGTCTCTCTGGAAAATGGCCCGGGGTAACATTTTAAAAAGCCACTACGGGTGCATCTACACAGCACCCTAAACTCAAAATAAGATATGCAATGTGCATAGCACAAATTGTATATCTTATTTTGAATCTATTTTGAAATTTGAAATTTGGTGCACCTACACAGCGCCAAATTTTGAAACAACGCACTATGTCAAGCCATCCCTTATCTCTTGTGCAACAAGGTTTACCGGGATGGTGAAATAGCACGCCCGTAATTTTGAAAAATACTTTGAAATAACGAGCGGCTTGTGTAGACACAGGGAAGCTATAGCTGTGCAGTGTAGATGTACCCTAAATGACTATGCCTATTTTAATGTGTTTTATGCGCTTAGGTACCTTAATCCCACTGATTTTCAATGGGAGTTAGGCTCCCAACGCATGTAGTCCCATTTTGACATTTGTACCCAAACAAAAACAGGACAAAAGAGCCACAGGAAGGGTGCTGTAATTTAATTTAAAAACTGAGCAGTAAGATCACTGTCTAGACACACTTGTCTAAATCCTTCATAAAGCATGTTTGCTGCTTCGAAATTTACCTGTCTTGTCATTTGCCAGACACAGTCAATGAACTGGAGAAAAACAGGAGATCTGTCTGCATCTGCATGATTCTTATCTCCATGGCCAACTCTCTGATATAAAAACAAGAATAAAAAAAGAACATGAGCTACTACAGTGTTTCACAGAGAAATAGCTTGGATTCTATGTACCAGAATTACCAATGCAGAAGCTCGCAACAGTTGTAAGATAGTTAGTAAGTCTCTTAATTTTGCTGTGTTTATATTATTAAGTGCAGAAGTTCTGGACAGGTACTCCTATAGTCTTTGAAGTGAAATACTTTCTTACTTAAGTGCACTTAAAATAAAGCTAAAACCAAGTGATCCAAATAGAAGATCCAGATGTTATTCTGGCACTGACTTCTTTTAACAGTTGGCATTCAAAAGACTAAAAAAAGTTTACACTTTTATTAATTTCAGATGTATATATAATCCCATGTATACATATCATTCAGTAGTACAACTCATCTTACAGCTGCACAGAAATTCAGCACCTAATGGTAATTACAACCTAGCACTTCCCAGCTGCGAACCATTGTGAAGTAGTCATGAAAGTGGCGGAAGTAGTAAGCCTCCAACACTGACCTTGCTGTGTGGCCTTGGGCAAATCACTTCCGAGCCAATTTAACAAAGCACTGAAGCCATAGAGGTTGTAGAAGAATTTTTAAATAAAAGGCCGGGGGGAGGGAAGAGAGGCAGAAAGGTGTGCAGGACCACACAGTTTGGATGGAGACATTCCTTAGGGGTACATTTATCAAAGGGGATACTCTATATCCTACTAACAAGGCAAGGATAGAAGTTGATAAAGTACAGATAGGCACTCAAGAGAAAAGTCAGATAAAAAGAGTCCGTCCATTCAACTACTCACATGAAGGCAGACAACTTAATATTGATCAATTTAATAAAGTGTTTGGATACAAATGCTGAAGTCTAAATCCTGAGATGAATTATCTTGACTGCCTGGTGGTAAATGAGTATATTGCTGTAATGGCCCTCACAGAAACTTGGTGGAACGATAATCAATGGGACACAGTAAAGACCAAGGTTCGAAATATACAGAAATGGCAGTATAAGTTGTGCTGGTGTGAAAGTGACACTATGTATGAAAAAGAGCATAGAAACAAATACAGTAAAAAAATCATAAACGAATCAAACTGTTGCAGAATCTTTATGGACAGAAATTCCATGCTTGACTAACAGGAGTACAGAAGTAGGAACACATTACTGACCCATTGACCAGGATAGTGACAGTGATTGTGAAATGCTCAGGACAATTAGAGCGCCTACAAAAACAGAAAGCCCAATAATAATGGGGGATTGTAACTATTCCATAGTGACAGGATACATGTCACCTCAGGAAGGGATGCACAGGTAAAATTTCTCGATATCATTAATGACTGCCTCTTGGAGCAGCTAGTTCTAGAAGAAGCAATTCTTCTAGTCCTGAACTGAACACAGGATCTGGCTCAAATGATGAATACTGAAGGAGCCTTTTGGTAACAGTGATCATAATGTAATTAAATTTAACATCACTGTAGGGAGAAAAATGCTAAAAAACTGTAGTATTTAACTTCAAAAAGGGAACTATATAAAAATGAGAAAACTAATTAAATAGCAATTAAAAGGAAAAGTCATATCAGTGAAATACATGCAAGCTGCATGGAAACTATTTTAAAATACCACTGGGGGCTGAGCCCTCTGCTCGCCATGCTCGCCTACCCCCGTCTCTCTGGTCGCATTTGCTTTGCTGAGAGAGCCTGTTGAAGACAGATAGAGAGAGAGAGGTCCAAAGTAAAACAAAACACAATACAATGATCAAAAAAATGCTACTACGGGTAAGCAGCAGAGTAAAAGAAGTGGTTAGAGGCAAAAAGGCATCCTTCAAAAACTGAAAGTCAAATCCTGGTGAGGAATACAGAAAGGAACATAAGCTCTAGCAAGTCAAGGATCAAAGTATAATTAGGCAGGTCAAAAATATTGAAGAGCACCTAGCAAAAGACACAAAAACTAACAGCAAAAATTTTTCAAGTACATCAGAGGCTTCAAGTCTACCAAACAATCAGTGGGACCACTGGACAATCATGTTAAAGAAGCACTCATGGAAGACAAGGTTGCTACAGAAAAGCTAAATGAATCCTTTGTAATGGCCTTCATTATAAAGGATGTGAGGAAGATTTTCGTACCTGAACTGTTACTGCAGGTGTCAGATGTGAGAAACTGTCCCAGACTGAGGTGTCAATAAAGAAGGTTTTGGAACAATAGTAATAAATCACCAGGATCAGACTGTATTTACCCAAGAGTTCTGAAGGAACTCAAATATGAAACTGCAGAACTATTAACTGTGGTAACCTATCACTTAAATAAGATTTTGTATCAGCTGAATGGAGGATAACTAATGCAATGCCAGCATTTGGTTGAAACTATAGTAAAGAACAGAACTATCAGACGCATAGATGAACACGTTATGTTGGGGAAGAGTCAATATAGCTTTTGTGAAGGGAAATTACGCCTCACCAATCTATTTGCATTCTTTTAGGGAGTCAACAAGCATGCGGAGTAGGATGACATAATGGATGTCATCAAAGTCAGCAACCCTTTGATAAGGTCCCACACCAAAAGTTCTTAAATAAAACCACCAGTCTTTGGATGTGAAGCAAGGTTCTCTCAGGTGTTAGGAACCGACTAAGAGATCGGAATAAACAGTCAGTTTCCACAGTGGCGAGAGGCACATAGCTGGGTCCCCAAAGGATCTGGACTGGGACTTGTGCTGTTCTACATATGCAATCTGCAAAGGGGACGAACTGTGAAGTGGCAGCATTTGCCACAAGTTACACAAGATTGCTTTGAACTTAACTGACAGTGAAGAGTTACAAAGAGATGTTGCTCAACTGAGTGACCGGGTGACAAAATGGGAGAGGAAATTCAACGTTGATAAGTGCAAAGTAAAAGCAAGTTGGAAAACATAATCCCAACTACACATATACAATGATGCGCTTACCACATAGGAATGATCGCAGAGTCATCATCGATTGTGCTCTAAAAACACCTGCTCAAGGTGTAGCGGCAGACAAAATAGCCAACAGAATGTTAGGAACCATTAGGAAAGGGATAGATAGTAAAAAAGAAAATATCATAATGTCGCTATGTAAATCAATGATACAGCTGCACCTTGGCGCATTTCTGGTTGCCACTTCTCAAAAAAGATACATTAAAATTAGAAACTTCTGAAGTACCTGACATTGGCCACTGTTGGAAGACAGGCTAATGGACCAGATGGACCACTATTTTGACCCAGTATGGTTGTTGTTCTGGTCTTAAGCATGTAGGTAATCATAATCTCTCATAGAATGCTTTTCATCTGTTGATCTCAAATTGCTTTACAAAGAAGATCAGCACTGTTATCTCCACTGTATAGATGGGACTATTCATGTCCTTACAATTTAAAAACACATGATTAACTGTTTTGCTGGATTGGGCCCTCAATCGCTCAAGCACCTCCGTTTCACCATATATATAAAATGGAAGAAAATATCACAAGTACACAGCTGAGAAAAAGGTTAAGTGATAATCTAAGATCACACAATGAAATCAATGCTGTAGGTAAGTACTAGATACAGTACTGTATTAGATTAGATAACCTTCACCAACATCAACTGACTGCAGTCTAAGGACAATGAGCAAATATCAAGGAAGGATATAATGTGCCAGAATGGGTGTCCGCAGCATCCATCTTTACTCTGCAAGCTCTGTTGTGGTCAAAAGGACCATCCATAGCCCTTTAAGCTATGTAATTAATCTGGTGAGATGCTCTCTATTCAACACACAAGTAACTGAATCCACTCAAAAGGCAAATTGACTCACCAGCTGAAATCTGTGCCCAAAGCTCAGCCATTCCTTCTCCACAAGCACCTCAAACCCCCGTATTGTTCGATAGTAGCCATCCAGAATGAGCATGGACAAAGAAGTGAGCTGAGCTGTTCGGTCCCAACCATCACTGCAGTGCACAACCACGGAGGTTTTCCCTGACTCCACCTTATCAGCAATCCGAAGTGCACCGGCAAGAATTAGCTGTGACAGAGACAGGGAATTAGTGAAGTTTCTCCATTTAATACAGGGGTGGGCAATCATTTTTAATGGGAGGCCACTCGAAGAATTTGGTAAGTAGTTGAGGGCTGCTCTCTTCCATTATATTAATGGAGGAGGTGAGGGGGGAGTGGTGTCTGGGATGGAGGTTGGGTGCAGAAGGGAGCTGGGGTAAGGGATTGGGGTGTGGGATCTGGGAGGGAGTTTGGGTTAAGGAGGGGTTGTGACCTGGGGCAGCGGACTGGGTGCAGGAGGGGGTACAGAGACTGGGAGCGAAGTGTGACACCTGGGGTAGGGGTGCAAGGGTTTGGATTGCCACGAAGGAAGGAAAGGAAAGAAAGGAAATGAACTAATATAAAGTTTCTGTAAGAAAGAACACATGGATTTCAGCCCCAGTCCAGCAAAGACTTACACATGTGCTTAACTTTATGCACGATGATGAGTTCCAATGAACTCCCATTGACTACAGTGGAATTATTGAGCGTGCATATAGTTAAGCACTCACACAAGTTTTTGCAAGATCCTGGTCTTATTTGGGAACATTCTGAATATTAAATGAAACCCGAAGTAGCAGCTGCCTTGAAATTGTCCCAGGAATAGACAGATACTTCTACTTTTATAGATGTAATATGCAAAAACCAGAATGACCCCTCCTTTAGTTAGATAGATACATACATCACAAATACTAACACACATGCACACCTTGATATGTTCCAGCCAATGAGTTGATTCCAAATTGGACAGCCAATGAGTCTCCTCAATGTTAGGATATACAATCTCCTTCAATTTTCTCAATGATTCTCTCATAACATGAATATTATGAATGTCCAAAAAAACTAATTCTGCATTCTGATAGGCATCCTCACTTTCATAGCCCCCTCCTTTAGCCTGGGGAAAAAAACAAACCCATAGGAAATAACTGAAAAATGTGTTTGGGCTTTCAATTCAATAGCTTCTGCAGGACAAATATTATGTGACATGTATTATTTATAAAGTAATTACAAATAAGCTATCAAAATCATGAAGTAAGAAATCAGGAAACAGTCCTACACATCATTTCACAAACGGAGACAAAACTATTCCTTGCACATAATTGATTTTCCCTGCAGACATAGTTTTCTCTTTAATATTGCAATTTTTATCAACATATCACACACAAGGGTTAATTTTTCTCTCTGATAATTATCAGTTACAAAGGCTGAAGTTGCAAGTTCCTCAGACTCACTGTACTATAGTCTGACAGTCCCACTTTGAGACCTTATAGAAAAGCCTGCATTTTCCCCACAGCCCTTTAAGAGGTGATGAACACAGAGGGTACGTCTAGACTACATGCCTCTGTCGCCAGAGGCATGTAGATTAGGCTACCCGACAGAGTAAAATGAAGCAGCGATTTAAATAATCGCCGCTTCATTTAAATTTACATGGCTGCCGCTTTGAGCCGACAAACAGCTGATCAGCTGTTTGTCGGCTCAGCGCGATAGTCTGGACGCTCCTCTGCCGACATCAAAGGGAGCTGTCGACAACCCAGGGATGCCCCTCCTGGGTTGTCGCCACCTCCCTTTGATGTCGGCAGGGGAGCGTCCAGACTATCGCGCTGAGCCGACAAACAGCTGATCAGCTGTTTGTCGGCTCAAAGCGGCAGCCATGTAAATTTAAATGAAGCGGCGATTATTTAAATTGCCGCTTCATTTTACTCTGTCGGGTAGCCTAATCTACATGCCTCTGGCGACAGAGGCATGTAGTCTAGACGTACCCAGAGATAATCCAGAGGCCAGGCAGGAAAGGGATTCTTGCACATAAACAAAGCTGACTATCTTATTGCATACTCTCTAACATCAGAATGCAGGTCTTGTTCTGGGCTGCATGCCTCATCGTGCCACTGACTCACTCTGATTCTGAGAAATCACAGGCCAGGCCATCACGTTTTCAAGAGTGGCCATGGATTTCAGATGCCCAGCTTGAGGCATCTCAGACCTGATTTTCAGTGGTCCTGACCATCCACAGGGCCTGTTAAAAATCAACTGACACAGAGGGTGCTCACCACCCTTGGAATCAGGCCCAAGCTGATGGACATATAAAAATGGAAGCTTCCAACATTCAAAGTGCTAGACTCTCTGTTCTGAATTGCTGAACAAAAAAGTGGTCTTTGCTTCCTCTACAGTTGGAGGCCCTGATCCAGCAGCTGGATTCATGCAAGTGGGTCCTTCTACCTACACAGACTTCCACCGACACTAGCAGGACTTTGTGCAGATGCAAGTTTCTGCCTGTACAGACCTGGCTGGCTGCATGATTGGAGTCATTGTCAATGCACCAATTCCACCTCAGCAACCCTGTCATATCCCCCATTGTTAATACTAAAGGGGGATGGTAGGCTAGTTCTGGACTGCAATGCCCCCTGCTGGTGAGAAAGGAGAGAACATCTAACCTTATTGGCTACAGCATTAACGCTAGGCCTTGCATCAAAGATGAAGATTTTATGAGATTGAGCATTGGAATCCATGACGGACTGAAGATACTTTTCATCTTCCTTGCTTCGCTTTCCACTCACTCCAACCATCGGCTGGCTACAGCGAGTGATCGTAGCTTGGCTTTCTGGATGAATCCATGACAAAACCTTTTACAATACATAGGAAAAAATGGAGATAGGAATTCAGAAGGATAGTGAAATGATTTACTTGTAACTTCAGGGGGTAGCCAAGTTAGTTTGTAAAGAAAACAACAACAAATGGTCTGGTAGCACTTTTAGACATGTTTTGTTAAGTCTATAAAGTGCTACCAGACCATTTATTGTTTTTTTACCTGTAACTGTTTCCATTGGATCCATTTGTACCTTTGATTTGGTTCTAGAGGATTGGATCAAACTAAGCTGTGACTGCATTAGAGTGATAGCACTGTTCTGTATTTTATTCTGTCACTTTAGTATATTCCCAAAGCTGGAACCAACTTATATTTGTATGAACATGCTTCAACCTGGCTTTTAAATACAGTTCAGCTAATTCTCCTACCATTCTGTGTGAGAGTCAGACCCCTTTTCATGCATGCCCATTGTGCTAAATCTTGTTTAATGTTCCGCAATTAAATTGTAAGCTCTTTTGGGCAGGGACTTGTCTTTTTATAGATCTGTGAAGCAAATAGATTAATATTGGCTGCTATAGAAATAATAAAGGTAATGATTATAGCATTCCTTATTTATAACCCAGTATTAAGAGTCTTCACTGAGAACAATACAGGACTTCAGAAAAAAGTATTCAGTTAACCCTCAAAAGAATCAGAAAATAATGAACAGGGCTAATTTTGTTGCCTAGAAAGTTAAGTTGCACTGCACTTTGGATTAGTTCAGTTTTCTTGTCTGCTTAGCACTTTGAGTCTACGTCTCGTTCATGCCATTAGTTCTACCAGACAATGCTGCCTTCAAACTCCTGGCAGAAGTCTCCCCATTGCTTTTATTATCCATCAACCATTTGGGTTTGCTCCCTGGTGTCCTCTCTGTCTGATCATGGCATTATTTATGGTACAAAGGCCTTTATAACCCACATCAAAGTGCCTTCTTCTGTCATACTCACTGGTATGCGACCCCTTGATCTGAAAGATGCTACTTTCTTTAATTCTTCATCTGGAATATTTACGGGCACGACTAGAATGGCAGGGTATGTGTCACACAGTTCATAGCGCTCGTTTATCTTGGTTATTCTCCAGCTTTCATTGGGAATTCCCTGTAAATGAAACAACAGTTTAGAAAATAAACTGCTACAGGGTCCCCAGCCCAAGGGAAAGGGACCAGCAGACTTTGCTTTCATGTCTAAGTATTTAAATTCAAGGGCACGTACAAACATGTCTGTATCAATGAAGGAAATTTATGGGAGCAACGCAGATTGTATGAAATGGCCAGTTATCTCACTTGTCTTTGTGATGAGCTGGTAAAGTGGTACCCTGCAAGGAAGACAGTGGTTTGGTTCCTAGAGACAGAGCGGTGGATAATATCAGCAAGGGTGAGTAAAGCTACAAGACCCCAAATCTACATTAACACGCATGGAAAAGATATTGAGAAGCAGATGAGGCAAGGCCCGGAGAGCAACTTTCGCCCTGCTCCCATTGTGGCCCCAAATGTAACGGGCTGCAGGAGCAGCTCATGATTACACAGCCCAGGATAGGAGCTGGCCAGCCCAAGCTTTTCTTCTTCTCCGTCTCTCAGCTCACCCTTGGGTGGTACCTCACTGATGCTCGCAACACACAGGAGAGGTCCGAGGCCGGCTGCGGCAACTGGCACCCCAGGCGGAAGGCGTGATCGGCGTCCCCGCCTGCACGGCCATCAATGGCCGTGACATCATCATCGGGCGCCCGGGCCGCCAGCGCCCTAGGCAACTCCCTAGTTTGCCTAGGCTCATGGGCCACCCCTGGCAACACACACACCTTCTTGATGGGTGGGAGAGGTGGGATGGCAGTCACCAGACAAGGTGGATGGGAGACTAGAAGGGAGAACAGTCAATAAAGCACACGGAAAAGAGAAGGCTGGGCAGATAATGGAAAAAGAGTTAAAATAAAGAATCAATATTAGTAGCTGCATGAGGACATGGTTCAAGGGACACAAGATTCCAATGTACCTAGTCCCCCAGACCAACTTGGGCTTCTCATAAGTAGGGCCCTAGCAAATTCATGGTCCATTTTGATGAATTTCAGTCACAGGTTTTTAAAAATCATAAATTTCAAGATGTCAGCTATTTAAATCTGAAATATCAAGGTGCTGTAACTGTAGGGGTCCTGACCCAAAAAGGAGTCACTGGGGGGAGGAGTTGCAAGGTTACTCTAGGGGGGCTGTGGTACTGCTTCCCTCACTTCTGTGTAGCTGCTGACGAGGAGCTGACTTCAGAGCTGGGTGCTCATCTAATAGCCGCTGCTTTCCGGCCGTCCAGCTCTAAATGGCAATACAGAAGTAAGGGTGGCAATACTGCACCCCCTCCAAATAACCTTTGACTCTCCTGCAACTCCCTTTTGGGTCAGGACCCACAATTTGAGAAACGCTGGTCTCCCAACAAAATCTGTATAGCACAGTATGAAAGCACACAATCCACCTCCGAGTATTCACTCATGGTATTATTTAATTACTTGTCCTTATATTCACATAATCTAAACCAGTGGTTTTCAAACTACCGGTCACGATCCAGTCCTGGGCTGTGGAACGTCAGGCACTGGGTCTTGTTGCTGCAGGGGAGTCAGGTAACCAGAGGGGGAGGTAAGGTACCTGCCTGTCCAGGCACCAGTAAACAGCTCTGTGCCCCAGAAGCAGCCAACAACAGGCCTAGCTCCTAGGTGTGTTTGGGGGAGGGCTGGGGGAGAGCACGCAGGGCTCTGCACACTGCCCCTGCCTGGAGCACTACCTCTGCACTCCCATTGGTTGGGAACCTGCTGCTGGCTGCTTCTTGGCACCACATGTTCTGCAGCGCCAGGAGAGGCAGGAATCCTGCCTTAGCACCCCCGCTGCACCGCTGACCGGCAGCAGCTCACGGTGAGCCCCTCCCGCCCCGGGCCTGACCCCTCCCCCCCAAACCCAGAGCTCCTTCCTATACCCCAAAGCTCTCATCTGCAGCCCCACTCTGAAGCCTACACTCTAGTCCAGGGGTGGGCAAGAATTTTTGACCAGGGGCCACTTCAGAAATTTTTGCTGCTCTGGAAGGAGCAGGGCCTCAGGCAGAAGGGGGCAGGGGAAGGACACTTCCATGCTTCCCCACCCACAGACCCTGATTGGTCAGGGGTGGGGGAGCACGCAAAGTCTTTGCCTTCCCCCAGAGAGAACCCCCTGCTGTTCTGAACAGCTGGTGGTTCCCTCTAGGTACCTGTGCCCCTGTGGTGGCACGCTTCCCACTGCTGCCCCCAGGTCAATCAGGGCCTGGAGACGGGGCGCACGTGAAGTCTCTGACTCCCTGCCCCCACCCTCCAAGGGAGTGCTGAGCTTAGAGTCAACTGCCAGCTGTTGACTTTTAAGTTCTGAGCCCTTTGCAGGGCTGGAGGAGACTTCACACACTCCTAGCGCCCTCAAGCCCTGATTGGCCTGGGGCAGGGGGAGCGCGCAAAGTCTCCTCCCCCGCTGCCCCCGTCCTGCAAGAAGCGTCTGGTGCTTAGAAGTGCCGCACCCCTTGCAGGGCGGGAGGAGACTTTGTGCCCCCTCACCCTCACCCCTAGGCCAGTCAGGGCTTGAGGCGGGGGAGCACACACAATCTCCTCCCACCCTGCCAGGAGGGTGCAGTGCTTCTAAGAGTCGCGCACTCCTTGCACTGCTGGGGCAGGGTGGGAGGAGACTTCGTGCACTTCCCCCACCCCCAGGCCGATCAGGCCCTTTTGCCCATCCCTGCTCTAGTCAATTATGCTGTGTTGTAGGAATCAACAATTTTCTTCAACTGGGTCATAAGAAAAAAAGTTTGAAAACCACTGATCTAAACATGCATCTTTTATTCAACTGAATCACTCCCCTGGCTGGTCACAGGGTGAAAGTGCAGACACTGAATCAGACTAGGTCTGAAGGCCACAATCCCACCAAGCACATAAGCATATGAGTAACTTTAAGCACAAGTACTCTCCACTCAACGGCAGTGGGTGAAGCTGCTATTTGGGGAAGCAAGCTCCACAGTCTGTGGGCCTGCCCCCCACCCCACCCCTACTCTGTGTAGTCCGCACTTCCTCCCCACTGTTTCCCTCTTCTCATCCCTTTCAGCCAAATCCCAAGTGTAGCCAATTACATTTGAAAAAAAAACACTCTTCTAAATTTTTTTTCTAAAGAAAATGGAGCATGTTTTCCACTGCTTGCCAGATTGTGAAGACTGGACATGCAGAAGGTACCTAATTAAAAGCACTAAATTTGGGAACAGAAAATGTTAGTCACAGGTTTTTTGATATACCCTGAAGAGATTTATTTGCAAAAACTTTGTACTAAGGACAAGACAGCTGTCCTGCTAAATACAATATTAAATATTATGGAATACGTGATGCAGCACTTCTCTGTTTTGCATTTCTTAAGCTGTATTCTAAAATTACTTTATATTTTAATGTATTATTTAAGCCAGATTACTACACCACACTGAAACAAAGACATTTCGAATCTCAGAACGACTTAGTGTGTTCATAACAAAGTTCACTACATTTAGAAAAAGGAAACACTAATTTATTTTGTATGATCTGCATAATAGAAGACACATTTATGAAATTTCACCATATACCTATCTCATAGAATGGGAAGGGACCTTGAGAGGTCATTGACTCCAGTCTCCTGTGTCTGTAGCAGGACCAAGTACAATCCCTGACAGATTTGCCCCAGATCCCTAAATGGACCCCTTGAGAACTGAACTCACAACCTTGGGTTTAGGAGGTCCATGCTCAAACCACTGAGCTATCCCTCCCCTTTGGTGCAGCCTCTGTCCACTGGGAGCTCTGGCCCCCATGGACAGGGGCTGCTGCCTCTTTTTAAACAGGCTCCCCTTGCAGACTGGCTCCCACCTGGCATCCCGTGCTGCTGCCTCTGATACAGCGAGAGCACCGCGCAGTGGGAGAGGACTCCCCAGGAGTGGGGTTGGGAGCACAGTGGCTGCTGGCCCTGCTCCAAGGGACTATCAAATACAGCCTCTCTCCGAGTTACGAACGAGTTACGGACCAAACACTTGGCCGTAACTCGATCCGTTCATAACTCAGACCCCATTGAGTTACACGCGACCACGCTGTTCGTAAGCGCGGGTCGCGTTCGTAACTCAGGGACCGCCTTTACGAGCGCTCCATGGAGCTTTGGTCGTAAGTGCGAACAGTCGTAACTCGACCGTTTGCAACTCGGGGAGTGGCTGTAGTTATGTAACCACTAATTTGATGGGGTTACATGACTACTCAATTACTCGCTATCTAACCTCCCTAGGATTGGACTATGCCTGTTAAATGGCTTAATTACCACTTAATGACTCTTTCACAGGTTCAGCATTACGCTAATAGGTCTAGCAAGCTGGAAGGCTTTCCCTCTTTAAAGTTAATAGATCCACTCTGGGGGAAGACTCACCAGTCTGCAACAGCCTGCTGTGGGAGCCTGTAGGAATGGTCAGGAAAGGGATAGGAAGAAAGGAGCGGTTAAGCTCTTAGACCCAAGGAAGGCATTGCCTCCCCTTGTTTCTTATACCCACCATCCATGTTTCCACTGACACCGAAATCACTAGTCTCACGTTTAAAGTGAAGCACATACTAAACTGCTTTATTGGACCAGAACCCAAATGAAGGCCGATTCTGCACTAAGCCTGATTTTAAACCATTTCTGATCAATTACTATTTTCCCCTTCTAGGAAAAGTTCTCCTTTAAAAATCAATTCTCTTTCTCTAAGTTTCTGTTTCTAGGCTGGCACTCGTGTTCTTCAATCAACAGCATGTTTTCAAGCATCTTTTCCTAGTTGTTTGTTCTGAAAGCTCCATACTGTGATTCCACCACACATCTGACCAGAGCAGAGCATCATTCCAGTACAGCTGTCTTAGGGAAATATCACACATTTCAAACTTCAGAATCCCTTGAATGATTTACCAATTGCTCCCCACCTTGCTAGAAAGAAGGAAGCTTTTCTGAAGTCCCAAGTCATCAAGAAGCCTTTTGGGTTTAGCTGAATCTTACTCATTTTGCCGTTCTTTTTCATATTCTGCCAGTCAGCGTGTAATAAAAATTAGGGAGCGATTTCAGTTTTAAATTTAATTTGCCACATACGATCTCAATTATCAACCCATACCCAAGCCTGTCAAAGGTCATTTTGTTCTCTACAGGTTATTTATTGCTCTCCATCATTTTATGTGATTGATAATTTTTAATAAATTACATTTCTCTCTCTCTCAGGGACATTTACAAAGTTGTTTTGGATTCACTTTATATCCTTCCTAAATCTCCAGAATCTCTATTGTAGCAATCTCCTCCAGATCATTTATACCAGTCTGAAGAGATCACATCATTTCCATGGTTTCAAACACATCTGTCATTGGCAACCCTATTTTACCCCAGAAATCAGGCCTATTCTGAATGTCAGACAGCTTGCTTCTACTTGTTGATGTCTACTCAACAAGAGGGAGACTTGGTCAATGAGATGTGTATTAACATGCAAAACCACAGGGTCTCCATGAAATCAATTCACTGCTTATGCCAAAACCAGCTCTCCCAGAACTTTATAAAATCTGTTCCAGAGGTTCTCTAGAGAACACATACATTTTGCCTCTGATTTCTGTTCACCCATCATATGGCCACGGACAGGTAATCTCATTATCAAATCTACTGTTTTATCCCAGTTGTGTTAGAGAATGCACAAATCCCAGTTCCACTGCAGGAACTCAATCCTGACTTATTAATGGACAGTTTTCATTTTAACAAGATTATTACATCATTTACACATGATCCGATGTATTCAGTAAGATTCAAGTAAAGGTTCAAAACTCGCATCAGACACTTGTACCGACCCAAACAATGAGACCACCCAGAGTTCCAAAGAGCAATATGGATCAAAATACCCGGAAGTTTGGCATGGGTAAACCTAAGCAAACCTCTAATGAAAAGGTGCTGGGTCATACCAAAACACTGTGTATTGAAGGGTTGCTTACATCTTGCTCTTTACAGCCCATGCCAATCATTTCTGAAGACCAGCTGGATGTCAGGTCTGATCTGATATGGTAACAACTATGTTCCATCACAGTCAGAATTCAGATCATACCTCATCTTCACTGCAAAACCCAGCTATGTTTTCACCCTGAGATAGCTAATTCAATGTAACATACTCCCTACTCTGCATCCTGCACATCTACACTGCAATTTTATAGTCTGGCAGCTCAAGCCCCATGATCCTAAGTCAGCTGACCCAGGCTAGTATGGCCATGCAAGAGGTCTTTTATTGCAGTGCAGATGTACCCCTAAAGTTTTCTACCTCAAGTTAACTGACTGCCAATTAACTTGAAGTAGTTAATACGTTTGTGAAGGCCAGTCAGGAGACAGCCCAAATCTTTGCTCCAGATTATGGACATTTGTACCTTCCCTTGTGTAGGCTGATTCCTTAAAATGGCCACCAAGAAATAAATATATTTTTAACACTCTTTAAAGAAACTTTTTTTTTTATTATTTAAAAAGAAAAAACCTTTAGGAAACAATTAATGTATAAAAAAGTATTCAGACTAGTTTAAGCATGATGGAAAGACCTTAACACCCATCACTAAATAGGGACAAATCTATACTGAAAACTTGTATCAGTACAGTTGTCTCTCAGGAGTTTGAAAAATCCTCTTATTCCTAGTATAGACAGTACTACGCTGACAGAAGAATTCTTCCATTGACCTAGCTACAGCCTCTAGGGAAAGTGAATTAAGCCAGGTCTAGACTATCCCTAGAAGAATAAATAATGTAAGCTGGAGTTGACATACCTTAAGCCAAGCTTGGAACTGTCTCCAGATCAGGAGAAATGCTCTCATTGGTGCCAATGGGGGCTCCCTCCGTGGTCAATTTAGTGTGTTTTTACCATAGTTCCCTCTAGGTATGCACCTGCATGGCCATGCACAAACAATTCTAGGCCTGCCCACCTCATTTGCAGAACTGCACAGTACCACTCACTTTTCTGCAGGATCTGGAAAGCGAGTGGTGAGGTGTGTTTTAGCTCCTGCAGCTACCAGGTGACCCAGTTGGGACTCCATTGCGGGTGGCTAATCTGGCAGCTGGGGCTGGGACCATGTGGTGGGTGGTTGCTCCAGCCAGCTGAGACCAGAGCCAGGGCCGTATGGCGGGTTGGCAGCTGCTCCGGCTGGGGCTAGGGCTGGGTCTGTGTGGCAGATAAGTGGGCAGGTGGCTGCTCTGGCCAGTTGAGACCGGGGTCAGGGTCGTGTGGTGGGTGGCTGCTCTGGCTGTCTGGGAATTTCAGAATACATTTACTAGATATAAATTCATTATATGAAACATTTATCTGATGAATAAATTAGAGACTCTGAAATACAGTGCAATAAAAGTTTTGCTGCTAGAAAGATTTTTATGGGTGAAATAATGTAAAAATTAATAACATTAAATATGATTCTCCTTAACCTAGCTTAGTCCCCCATACAATTATTTTGACATTCTCAGGCATGCATAATCACAGATATATTCAAATAATACTTCAGATCAGAATTTAGGAAGACACCAGAAAGTACTGGAATGGAACAAGGAACCAGTCCTACACCACTGAAGTTAACCTGAGTTTTGCCATTAACTTCAAAGGATTCAGATTAAAGCTCAAAAGTTGTGGCTTTTCCCTTTTGTAAAATGGTTATTAAGGGTATCTGAAAATAGTTTTCTTTCTGTATCTGTTGTTAGGAAAGATATTCAGGCATGATGTGAATGAGTCTAATTAAGCTAAACCTCCACATGTACCATATGTAATGGCTCAAAATATGCCTGTATGGTTTGTTTAGTCATTAGATTATCTGACTAAGAATTTCTGAACTCAAATTAGTATGTATAGAAAGCTGTCATATTCCTTTATGCTAGATGTACATAGGTGTGCCTCTGTTTCCCCTCTGTACAGTTGTGAGGCCACATGCATTGGTGATTGTGAGGTGGTCAGATACTGGAGTGAAGGAGAATGGGGTGAGTTCCTTGGTAGGCTGACTGCATGTGTCCCAGTGAGACTGGGGGAGCATCATTAACACAGGCCTTGTAAACCTGAGCTTTGATGCCTTCAGGAAAGAGTCACACTTCCCTAGGTGGTGCAGCTTCTCCCTCACCTGGCTGTGGATCTCCTTCCATGTGCGCCTCACATTGAACCAAGCCAGCCCCTTGGGTCTACCTCATGTCTTGTCCCCCATCCATCCCCTACAGGCCTTGGGGAGGCAGAGAATAGCCACAGCACAGTGTTAATTATCCCATATTTTAGTAGTCTTTCTTCCATAACATATATATCTATTTCTAAGATATTTGTTAGTAACTGGTGGGTGCCACGGTGGCACACATCATCTCAACATGGAAATGCCGTGCGGAGCCTGGGATCAGCTGGGTTGATCCCCAGCTCAGCTGCGCAGCAGCTCTCCCTTTGAAACGCCGCCTTGGCATTTCAAGGGGCAGTGCCGTGGAGCCTGGGATCAGCTGGGGAATCCTCAGCTGACCCCGGGTTCTGGGGAAGTGCTGTGCGGAAATCCCCAGCTCAGCTGCGCAGCAGCTCTCCCTTTGAAACGCCGCCTTGGCATTTCAAGGGGCAGTGCCGTGGAGCCTGGGATCAGCTGGGGAATCCTCAGCTGACCCCGGGTTCTGGGGAAGTGCTGTGCGGAACCCAGGGTCAGTCGGGGAGTCCCCAGCTGATCCTGGGCTCCATGTCTTTGAAATACGCAGGAGCCCCTGCTAGCGACTCTTGTACATTTCAAAGCTGGCACGCTGCACGCAGCCCAGAGTCACCGGGACTTCACACTGGCCCTGGCTACACACAGAGTTCCGCAGAGCCCACCAGGGGCTCTTGTTCATTTCAAAGGAGGAATGTGGAAGTGCGTATCGATTAGTCGAGAAATTCCATCGACTACTAGACTAGTCAATTAACCGCAATTTAACATCCTTAACCAGTACCTGATCCTGCAGACACATCTGGGGAGGGTTCTTGCTCCTTACATATAATCAGTAATTATAATGCAGCGCAGACCTTAACGTCCAAAGAATTATGTGTAGGAACAAGAATGTGACACAAGCACCTACCTGTCTTCTGTACTCCAAAATAGGGTCGTACACCTTCCAACCATTGTCTGGGAAAACTTCTCTGTATTCAAATGCAAAAAGGGGCTAAGAAAAAGAACAGTTCTCATGAAATATTCAATGTTGTCTGACATTTCAGATAACAACCAGCGATTTCTCTTTTGTTTCTAGGATATTACTTTTCCTTATGGCTATGTTAAGTAATTGACATTCCCATTGTACAGAGTAATTAACACACCAAATGTACATTCCTCTACCTTCGCTATCACACTGATCTATTACCTCCTACATCACAGGTACAAAAGGTGTTTAAGAAAATCCTTTGTGTGGCAAGAATGCTTCTCTCCCACATTATGTAGAAGTACATCCTTTACCCAGCATCTAAGGCAACAACTGTATGATCATCACATCCCTGAATGGACCCAGGCTCACTGATGGGGGTCGGGCCAAGTGGGCTACTGCCCCAGGGCCTGGCAATTCAAAGGGGCCCAGGGCTCCCTGCAGTGGGTGGAGCGCTGGGCCTTTTAAGTTGCCATCAAAGCAAAAATCCCAGGTGGCGTGGCGCTGTGAAAGGGGACATAATCCAGGTGGTGCTGAGGGCCAATTTCCCCAACCCTGCCCCTTCTGGGAATGCAGAGCTGCTTCTCCTCGCAATCCTTGCCATGGAGCCTGGCAAGTATGTCAGTTCGCCTGGATGGACCAGCTGTTCTGCACACGTGAGAGCAGTCAGCCAAAAACTGACTGTGAATCTCTGACAGATTCTGCTCCATTACAAACATGTGAGCATCAGTGAGAAACGTCCCCACCCCCAGAGTCTCAAATACGTTGTGACTAATTGTACAGTGACATAGAGGAGGTGCATTTCCTTTACACACAAAGAACATACTGTATTTCAGTTACACAATATGGCATGATCATGCAAATTGTTGCACATGGACACAGCAATCTGCACAGAGCCCCACTGAAATAAGCAGGTCCCACTCAAGTTCTCTTGCTGGTGCTCACATCAGCGGGTCTCCCTGGGGCAGGCACAGAATATACCTACAACGCTGCAGGACTTGGGAATTTATGACCTGTGCCTTCTCCCTATGCTTATCCAATGGCATGTAAAACGTGACCAACTGCTGCTCTACCTCCTGTAAAGTCAATGACAAGAGTCCCAGGGATTTTAATGGAAGCTGGATGAGGCTCTGAGGTTGTTCAAGCATTTAATAAATAATAATTTACACTTACATAACACTTTCCATTTGCAATCTCAGTGCTTTACAGATAATTAATAAAGTTGTAGCACTCCTTGGGAATAGACAATGTATTATTATCTGAGAAATGGAAAAGTGAGACAAAAAAAGATGACATGCCCAAGGTCCCCTTGGAAGTGTAGGACAGATACAGAAATAGAACCCAACCTCAGGACTCCTGATCTAGTGCTTTCATCACTAGATCAGACCTCCTAGTTTTTAAACACACCTGGAATAACAGCTAAGCAGAATTTTGGCCACAGAGGATATGTCTATGGTGCAACTAAAATCTGTGGTTGTCTCATGCCAGCGAGCTCAGGCTAAGGGGCTCAGGCTAAGAGGCTGTTGGGCTACAGTAAGCACAGACTCTAGTGCAGTGTTTCTTAAACTGTGTTCCGTGGTGTGCCGTGAGGCAGTTGGAGGTGTGCTGTGGAGAACAACAGAGTTCAAAATGGCCACCCTTAAAGGGGCAAGTGACTTTTTTTTTTTGCTCAGTAACTTTCCCCCGGACCCTTTTGTTTGTTTTTTGTTTGGTGTTTCTCGGTCTTAAAAAGTTTAAGAAACACTGCTCTAGGGCCTTGAGAGGTGGCAGGGTCCCAGAGCTCTGACTGCAACCTGAGCCCAAACATCTACACTAGAATTAAACAGCCGCACAATTGAGGTTATGGATTTCAGGAAGGCAGATTTTGATAAGCTCAGAGAACTTGTAGGTAAGGTCCCATGGGAAGCAAGACTGAAGGGAAAAACAACTGAGGAGAGTTGGAAGTATTTCAAAGGGACGTTGTTAAGGGCCCAAAAGCAAACAATTCCGCTGTGTAGGAAAGATAGAAAATATGGCAAAAGACCAGCTTGGCTTAACAAGGAGATCTTGCATGATCTCAAAATAAAAAAGGAGTCATATAAAAAATGGAAACTAGGACAACTAACAAAGGATGAATATAGGCAAGCAACACGGGAATGCAGGGGCAAGATTAGAAAGGCAAAGGCACAAAATGAGATCAAACTAGCTACAGGCATAAAGGGAAACAAGAAGACCTTTTATAAATACATTAAAAGCAAGAGGAAGACCAAGGACAGGGTAGGCCCACTGCTTAGTGAGGAGGGAGAAGCAGTAACAGGGAACTTGGAAATGGCGGAGATGCTCAATGACTTCTTTGTTTCGGTCTTCACCGAGAAGTCTGGAGGTGTGCCTAACGTAGTGAATACAAGCAGAGAGAGGGTAAGTTTAGAAGATAGGATACACAAAGAACAAGTTAAAAATCACTTAGGAAAGTTAGATGTCAGCAAGTCACCAGGTCCTGATGAAATGCATCCCAGGATACTCAAGGAGCTGATAGAGGAGGTATCTGAGCCTTTAGCTATGATCTTTGAAAAATCATGGCAGACAGGGGAGATTCCAGAAGACTGGAAAAGGGCAAATATTGTGCCCATCTATAAAAAGGGGAATAAGAACAACCCAGGAAATTATAGACCGGTCAGTTTAACGTCTGTCCCAGGGAAGATAATGGAGCAGGTAATTAAGGAAATCATATGCAAACACTTGGAAGGTAATAAAGTGATAGGGAATAGCCAGCATGGGTTTGTGAAGAACAAGTCATGCCAAACTAATCTGATAGCTTTCTTTGATAGGATAACGAGCCTTGTGGATAAGGGAGAAGCGGTGGATGTCATATACCTAGACTTTAGTAAGGCATTTGATACGGTCTCGCATGATATTCTTATTGATAAACTAGGCAAATATAACTTAGATAGGGCCACGATAAGGTGGGTGCATAATTGGCTGGATAACCGTAGTCAGAGAGTTGTTGTTAACGGTTCTAAATCCTGCTGGAAAGGGATAACAAGTGGAGTTCCTCAAGGGTCTGTTTTGGGACCCGTACTGTTCAATATCTTCATCAATGATGTAGATATTGGGATAGAGAGTACTCTTATTAAGTTTGCAGATGATACCAAACTGGGTGGGGTTGCAACTTCTTTGGAGGATAGGGACATAATTCAAAATGACCTTAGCAAGTTAGAGAAATGGTCAGAGGTAAACAGGATGAGGTTTAATAAGGAGAAATGCAGAGTGCTCCACTTAGGAAGGAACAATCAGTTCCATACATACAAGATGGGAAGCGACTGTCTAGGAAGGAGCATGGCGGAAAGGGATCTAGGGGTCATAGTGGACCACAAGTTGAATATGAGTCAACAGTGTGATGCTGTTGCAAAAAAAGCAAATATGATTTTAGGTTGTATCAACAGGTGTGTTGTAAGCAAAACTCGTGAAGTCATTCTGCCGCTCTACTCTGCACTAGTTAGGCCTCAGCTGGAGTACTGTGTCCAGTTCTGGGCGCCACATTTCAAGAAAGATGTGGAGAAATTGGAAAGGGTACAGAGAAGAGTGACAAGAATGATTAAAGGTCTAGAGAAGCCTATGAAGCCAGGCTTCATGAACTGGGCTTGTTTAGTTTGGAAAAAAGAAGATTAAGGGGGGACATGATAGTGGTTTTCAAATATCTAAAAGGGTGTCACAAGGAGGAAGGTGAAAATTTGTTCCTCTTGGTTTCTGAGGACAGGACATGGAGTAATGGGCTTAAAGTGCAGCAGGGGAGGTTTAGATTGGACATTAGGAAAAAATTCCTAACTGTCAGGGTGGTCAAATATTGGAATAAATTGCCAAGGGAGGTGGTGGAATCTCCCTCTCTGGAGATATTTAAGAACAGGTTAGATAGACATCTGTCAGGGATGGTGTAGACGGAGCTTGGTCCTGCCTTGAGGGCGGGGGGTTGGACTCGATGACCTCTCGAGGTCCCTTCCAGTCCTATGATTCTATGATTCTATGAGCCCCTCAGCCTGCGCCCCAGAAGCCCAAGTCAGCTAACACAGGCCAGACGTGGGTTTTTAATTGCAGTGTAGATGTCCCAGAAATGATTTAAGTTCAGCATTTCTTCTCTCCGCTAAAATCACCCCATAAAAATAGTGCATTATCTAAATGAAGCTGTGTACCAGCATCCTGCATCTTTTCGTAAGCACAGGAGAAACAGCCTACCAAGTTGTTGGATACTGGAAAGGCATATTTCATTAGGTTCTCAAATATGGATCGCCTACTTCGTCCCTCAGGTTTATGAGCAAATCGTAGGTTTCGAATATCCTAGGAAAGTTAAACAAAGCATCACATTAAACTGTTATCAAACTTCAGACACAACTTGAATGTATACAGAGACTCTGAGGAGACCCAGGAGAACTGAAATTCTGAAATACAGAATTGCAACCCTGGTTTCTACATCTGAACAGTTTCTATGAAGACGGTCAGTGGCACAGCTCTAACGCAACCCCAACGCACTGCACTCTCCTTCAAAACCAACGTTCTGAAGCTAGAAGAGCCACGCTCAATACATTTCACCCCAGAGGGAGAAACTTCTCATGTCAAGCATAGATTTGTTGTAAACAATTTAAGAGCCTATAGTAACCAATGGAAAATGGTGGTCGCACTATAGGGTTCATATACATGAATAAACATTTTCAAACGTCTCAGAGGGGTAGTTGTGTTAGTCTGGAACTGAAAAACTTAAAAAACAACAAATAATTCTGCAGCACATTAGAGACTAGCAAAACATAAATGGTATGTTCATCGGTACAACCCACTTCTTCAGATGAATGGAGTAAGGCATCGAGGGTACAAATAAATAGCAGAGAAAGAGAGGGGATGGGGAAGGAAAGAGAAAGAAAACTAGGAGTGTCTGTGCTAAATGAGGGTAACAGAGTGGGCTATAAGAACCTGGTACTTAGCTTATTATGTCATTAAGAGTATGGAATGTAGCTGCCCATCCAGGGCAGGTCTTTGTTCAGACCTTGATTACATGTGTCAAACTTGTAATGAAAACGTCTCTAAGGTGCTGCATGTCAACAGCACTTTTGTGGCAAAACCTTCCCAGTGTAGACGTAGCCTAACTTTCCATGCATATGGACAGAGGATTAGGGATGTGAACGACTAGGCGACTAGTCAACTAAACAATAAGCTTATCAAACAGTTGACACACTAGTCGACTAGTCTCTTCCCCCCACCTTGCTTTTGAGAGAGGCAGTGGGGAGGAGGGAGAGAAAGGGTTGCTTCAAAGCGGTGCTGCTGCTTTGAAATGCCGCATGCAGCCTGGGGCCAGCTGGGGACTGCTTGAGTGCCCCACCGGCCCCGTGCTCCCCGCTTTCACCTTTGAAGTGTAGCAACAGCCCTTATTGACTAAATGAATGCAAACTGCATCAACTAATCAAAATTCTACATCCCTACTGAGAATATCAATGGAGACCATGACACCATCTCTTTGCCTCTTTCTTGCTCCACATCTCTGGATTATGATTTGTAACAAAGGGAAGCTTTGAGCAATAGACTGAGGACCCCCCCAATCTTTTGGGTTATCCAGAGAGATTTACTGCAAGCAAGCAGAGTTAACATCCCCGGTATTAATCCTGATCTACAAACTCTGAAATTAACTGTAATGTATAGGATTCACTTGAAACATGATATTCTTATCAATAAACTAGGCAAATACACATTAGATGGGGCTACTATAAGGTGGATGCATAACTGGCTGGATAACCGTACTCAGAGAGTAGTTATTAATGGTTCACAATCCTGCTGGAAAGGTATAACAAGTGGGGCTCTGTAGGGGTCTGTTTTGGGACTGGCTCTGTTCAATATCTTCATCAACGATTTAGATATTGGCATAGAAATTACGCTTATTAAGTTTGCAGATGATACCCAGCTGGGAGGGGTTGCGACTGCTCTGGAGGATAGGGTCATAATTCAAAATGATCTGGACAAACTGGAGAAATGGTCTGAGGTAAACAGGATGAAGTTTAATAAAGAAAAATGTAAAGTGCTCCACTTAGGAAGGAACAATCAGTTTCATACATACAGAATGGGAAGCGACTATCTAGGAAGGAGTACGGCAGAAAGGGATCTAGGGGTTATAGTGGACCACAAGCTGAATATGAGTCAGCAGTGTGATGCTGTTGCAAAAAAAGCAAACATGATTCTGGGATGCATTAACAGGTGTGTAGTGAGCAAGACACGAGAAGTCATTCTTCCACTCTACTCTGCACTGGTTAGGCCTCAATTGGAGTACTGTGTCCAGTTCTGGGCACTGCATTTCAAGAAAGATGTGGAGAAATTGGAGAGGGTCCAGAGAAGAGCAACAAGAATGATTAAAGGTCTAGAGAACATGACCTATGAAGGAAGGCTGAAATAATTAGGTTTGTTTAGTTTAGAAAAGAGAAGACTGAGAGGGGACATGATAGCCATTTTCAGGTATCTAAAAGGGTGTCATAAGGAGGAAGGAGAAAACTTGTTCATCTTGGCCTCTGAGGATGGAACAAGAAGTAATGGGCTTAAACTGCAGCAAGGGAGGTTTAGGTTGGACATTGGGAGGGAGTTCCTGACTGCTGAGGTAGTTAAACACTGGAATGAATTGCCCAGGAAGGTTGTGGAATCCCCATCTCTGGAGATATTTAAGAGTAGGTTAGATAAATGTCTATCAGGGATGGTCTAGACAGTATTTGGTCCTGCCATGGAGGCATGGGACTGGACTCAATGAACTCTCTTTCCAATCCTAGTATTCTATGATTCTATGATTTAAGAACTCTCTTCCATTTTTTATATCAATAAACCTTTTGTTTTTAGCTTACTACAGGATTTAGGTTTTATGTAAGAACTGAAGTATATTTTGACCTGGGATGAACATATACCTGAAGTATATTTTGACTTAGTTCATTGGAACTGGATGAATCTAATATATGTGATAATTTATCACAGAAGTCAGGTTAATCTGGGTGGTGCACGAGGGCTGAGAAGGCCTGTAGGGACATAACTAGCATAGTATTTTGGAAGCATGCATTCATTACTGGCTTGCTGAAATCTTATGATAGAGTATGTCCCCAATTTGGGGCACAGCCCTGTTTTCTGGTCTGACCTGAGATTGATCTCTTAGTTGTGTCCCACACCAGACAGCGTGACGCCTTCTTTTAAAAAAAACATCTTCTCCCCTAGCCCACTTACCTTGCATACAATTTCCAGCCCATATGAATTCTCACCACGACTGGAAGCGCCTCCAATTTTCTCCACTCTGTTAATCACACCTAAAGAAGCATCTAGGACAAACGGAGGGTCCTGGAAACCATTGAAAATGTGTTAGTTTAAAAGGGAAAAAAAATCCAAACCAAACACCACCACATGTAACCGCTGCTTACACAGAGTCATAACAGAGGGCCCTGTGTGGCAGAACATAGAGTAGATACAGGAATGAAATGGTTACTGAGCTTACCCTTTCCATGCTTTTGAAATACAGTCTGTAATTTGTAACTGTCAGGGTTCCTCTAACAGCTCCAGTGAACGGGCAGATGTAAGTCACATCTTTGGCTAATAAATGAAAGAAAGAGAAACACAGCTAGTGCTAATTTGAGGTTAATCTATGTGAGCAAAAACCTAACAGCAGTAACTTACATTTATAGCTTTACGACTCTCACTCACAGGAGTAGTCCCACTGAAATCAATGGCAGTACTTGCATGATCAAGTGCTTGCAGGTGTGATCAAGTCTTGCAAGATCTTGTCCACCAATCTGAGGGCAATTTCTATTCCTGTTATAAAGTAAGGGTTCAAAGTAAAGGCTATTTGTGCTCTGGTATGAACCTGACCCTGAATACAGTTAGCACATCTCTAGGGATGTGTCTAGTGCGTCTGCACTACCACCGAGTTCTGTTGACATTATGTCAACAGAACTCGGCAGTTTTGTCGACGGCAGTAAAACTCATTCTACGAGGAATAATGCCTTTTGTTGACAGAGTTCTGTTGACAGAAGACATTATTGCATCTACACTGTCCTTTGTGTCCACACTCTCATGTCAACAAAGCAGCTTGCTTTGTTGACAGAACACAGAACTGGATGTAGTCTAGAGGCTCTTTGTTGACAGAAGCTTTGTTGACAGTATCTGTCGACAAAGCCTCTGTCAACAAAAGCTTGTAGTCTAGACGTACCCGCACTGCTTTCGGTATCACTGTCTAGGCAACACTTATCCAGGCATAAGGTAGAAGTTTGCAAAGGAAAGAGCCTCTAAGTCTTAGCATAAATCACACAGCACCCACAGAAGCCTTGTGGTACAACTGTGCAATTTTTAGAGCTTTTTTTTTTTTTTTTACTACTAGCTCACACACAATCAATCCTTTGATTTTTGCATGGCTGCACATGATAAGATGGATGTGTTGTCAATTCTATAACTAGATAAAAGATGGAGGGAAAGGGGGAACAAAAGAAAAAGAACAGTTCACAAAGAGAAGAAACCAGACGTTACATATGGTTATACTGCTGATTCATTTAAAAAAAAAAAAAAAGCTACTACTATTAATGTTTATTAAACACCCTGATCAGGACTGGGGACCCATTGTTACACAACAACAGACAAAAGACCATCACTGCCCTGATGGGCAAATAGTTAATGCTGTGTAAAAATCAGTATCAAATTCAACACTGTTCCTTTTCAGTCCGTGATACCAATTCAGCTACCATCACAAAGGCAGGAAGCCACGTTCCCCCGGAGTGCTTCAATGACCTCTGAGTCGGAGAGCTTCTGCATCTGATTGGGCTGTGTGTGCGTGCAGGATCAGGACTTCACATTCTAAGAGCCAAACCCTCACATGGTACAAATAATTATAACTTGGTTGAAGTTAATGGAGCTACATTAATTTACACCAGTGTGACGAAGTGGGGATTGTGGGGATTTCATTCCCCTAGTTATGTTGCATGTGCTTCCTTCTGTCCAGTAGTAACAGTGTGTCTGTCTGTCTGAGTTTCCTTAGGCACTGCACCAATACCTAGATGGTGATTGGAACTTTGGGTGTGACTGCTCCAGCCTCCCGCACATACACACCGGCTGATGCCTTTTGTAACCTGAGCCCAGGAGGGGGAGCAAACAGGTGACACCTTTTGCTGGGGAAGCAGGCCAAAGACCAGAGGAGAAGCCTGGAATCAGCACCTGGGAGTGGATTACTGGGGTAGGTTGGGAGGCAGGGGGGAGGGCCAGGGCTCTGTCCCCCTCCAGGCACCCGTCTCCCAGGGACTGATTGAACTGATTGATTCTGGTTTCTGAGCTTGCAAGTCTGTTCTGCGCGGTTTCCCTGTCGACTAATAAACCTTCTGTTCTACCTGCTGGTTGAGAGTCACATCTGACTGCAGATGGGAGAGCAGGGCCCTGTGACTCCCCCCTCACACTTGAGTGACAACCTGCTGTGGGTCTGATCAAAGGAGTTTACTTGCCCATCGCCAACGATTTTAAACGTCAATTCGGCAATACAGACAATCCACCACACACAATTATTTTTTGGTTTGAGTGGTGATGATTCAAAACAGTCCCCTTCTGCAAAGGCGGTCGGTGGATCTCCTTCAGTCTAGGCAAGAGGTGCTGCTGGCAACACTTCTCCTAACACCCTTCTGTGTCATGTCAATAAAAAATGCCAAGGTTCAGGTGGCTTTTTTACCACCCCTGCCCCCTGTCCAGTCAATGTCCCATCACCTTTCATGTCACTAAAACACTCTGCAGGTTCCATGCAACGGCAACTGCTTCTAGCTCTCCACAGTGATAGGTACCAGCACTCCCCCGCTACCAACGGCACAAACAATCCTTTCAGAAAAGGCTTATTGACTATAGCTGCCAAACCCCAGCATTCACAAAGAACAGACTTCCTCTAGAAACGCCAGCTTCAAAACCCACATGTCACAGGTTGCTTAGGGGCTGAGCGTGTGACACACCAGTGAGGTTGGAGGCAGAGCGTGGTGACAGTGTGGGGGATCACTGGGTTTCCCAGGCTGCCAGGGTCGGATGCCATGTGGAATCAGTGCTCTCAGCTGGGTCGCTGGGGCAGGATGAGGCATGCTGTGAAGTAGTTTGTGTTGCTCATCAGTGACTCCTTGAGGCAAATCAGGAATTACATTGATAGATTCCTATCCTGGTAGACTATCTAGAGTCTTGATTGATTTACTTGAGGGTTCTTGTTCTTGGAAAGGCTGGATCAGGGTTGGAGTAATGGGAGCAGAGAATTTTTTTGAGGAAAAAAAATGTTGAAAACTGCAACCTGTTTTCTCACTGAAACTATGATCTACCATTGTGTTAAATGTGTGAATTTTGAATATTTTTGGCAGTTCCAATCAAAATGATAAATACTTAGTTCTCACAGAGTGTTTTTCATCAACAGATCTCAAGCTATTTTACTCAGAAAAGGAAATATTGGAAACCATGTACTGGGGAGGAAAAACACACATCTCGATAGATTTTCTAAAATAGTGAGGCTAATCTAAATCATGTAAATGGAAAAACAAATTTGAAAAAGTAAATTAAAATCTACCCTCATGGTAAAGTCCTATACAATGGAATAGGAATGAAACCTATAGGAGTCTAAAGAAATGACTAATAATCACCAGCATTGAATGGAAAATGGTCTCTCAGCTATGGAATCCTATAGACTGCTTTAAACATTCTGTAATTCCATATGATATCCTACAGCACTTCCCATCTTTCTGTATTTTACTTTTAGTATCCACATATTCTGCAGTATCTTTTACAAACAGATACAAATACTAGTGATGCTATACATTTAAATAGCTTCCCAGGAGCTCTCCAAAGATGTCTACTCAGACAAGAAATCAGAGTTGTTGTCCTTAGATTTCCTCGGAAATGTCTGCAATCCCTCAAAAGCTGAGGATATTTAATAGCTACCCAAATGTGAGAAATAACATGCACCTATGGGGAACAGGGCAGTTTAAATGACAGTCTCCAGACACTGATTATTACCGAATGTTTGAAGTTTTCTGGGGAAGGACATGAGTGTTAGCCCAGCTTATCAGCCATGATCTTTTCTTCCAAGACCACTTAAGGTCATTTTTGGGAGGAAGAGAAGAAACGAGCATAGCAAGTCTGCTATCCAATGTTGCTATTTGAGAGACATCCCATTTTAAAACACCCCAAAACAAATCAAAGCATGAGAAGTTTGATCAAAATTTCAGTCCACAGAATTCACCAGCAAGACTACCGTGCTCAGTCTTGTCAGTGAACCTGAAAGAAAAAACCTCCAGAACAAAAGCAAACTCAAGACTCCTAAATTTGCATTAACTTGAAGGGCAAACTTGGTTAATGGGCAGTCAGTAATTAATTAGTGCTGCCCATGCGAGCAGATGACAATACATCTAGTCAACACAAACTAGGGATTATGGGAATTCTTTCTAATCATTAAAAACAATAACAAAAAATTAGAGACATGTTCACATACCCATATCTTTAATGGTCTCTCCTGGCAACAAAGGAGGTTCTTCCATTTCAGCCAATTTATTAGACTCCCTGAGGACCTACACAAAAATGACACACACAAAAATTAAATTTTCACACATCAATAGCCTACCCTTTCAATGTACATATGATTGGTCAATAATATCAACAGTAACAAACCCTTAGCACTCTTATAGTAGGGTTTTGACCAAGTGCTTGACCAAGATCACACACCTGGTCAAGGTTAGTGTTCGCAACTCCCTGTTCTTCTTATGTCAGGGGCTGGGGTGTATGAGTGAATGGCAGGGAAACATTTATATCATCTTTTCAACACCTTGGGCACTGTGGGAACAGCACAAAGGGAACAGAGTGAGCTGAGGGGTTGGTTCAACATTCCTTAATTGCTTTCCAGCAAATGTGGGGTGTACATCCTTTTGAACATTTCCCTTTCAACAGAAAAAAAGACAGTTGGCTCTGCGTAACGCCACCATCACTTACTGACATTTGTGGCATCTGAATCGGAACAGTTCTTATTGTTTGAAAAGTTTTATTAAGACAAGGTGCATGGAAGTTCACTACTGCAGAGTGAGAGCTGGTTAATGTGTCTATGCAATACCGTATGGGTAAATAAATTAAGGATGTTAAATATAGACTAATTCAATTAGTCTATAGGGTGACTCTACCTTTGAAGTGTAACAGCAGCCCTAGGGGAGTCCCCAGCTGATCCCGGGCTCCATGATGGAGAAGCCGGGAAGAGCTGCTGCTTTGTAGTACTCCTCCTCTTCCCTCTCCTTATGATAGAGGCAGAGGAAAATCACTAGTCAACTAGCATGTCGACTATCCAATAAGCATTTGCTTATCGGATAGTTGACTAGTCCTTCGCATCCCTAAAGTAAACTTTAGCACAAGTGAGATCCATTAGCAGGTGGGAGAAGACACTCTGTTAGCAGCCATACTGACAGTGAATGGAAACATTTGCATTCCCTTTGCTGGAAAAGAATGTTCTTGCTAGCAGTGATCAGACAGGAAAAGTACAACACTATAAAGCTATCTGCTTTAAGAGGCATTTGACAGATATTAGCTGTCTACAGATGACAGTTTAAAGCACCTTACACTAGTATAACTGCTACTCCTAGGGGAATTCTCCACCAAAAAATTAAAAATGCGGTAACAAAAAATTAAAGGATTCTGTATGCAATTTTTTCTAATTCTGCAAAATTCTGCATATTTTGTCAAAATAGCACAATATTACACAAAATAACACCAGCTTAAATTATTATTGGTTATTTCAAAATACCTGTCAGCAAATATGTCTGTAAAAAGGTAGACAACGAAAAAGATTTAGAAGATGCTTCACAGGTGATTAATCAGTCCCGTCCAGGCAGAGGCTCCGGGCTCCTTACAGGAAGCTCACAAACTGGGCGGAGCTGATTAATCACCTGTGAAACTGTGTTGCCCTGCAGCTTAGAGGGAACACTGCTCAGCACCATCTCCTTGGCAAGGCCGGCCTTAAGCCGATTCAGCTGATTTGGCCGAATCGGGCCCAGCGCCTAAGGGGGCCCCGCGTCCTGCAAGTCGGCTCCCCCTTACCTGCGCTGCGCACACTGCCGGCTGCTGCCATGCATGCTGTTTGTAGGTGGGTGGGGAGATGCCCGGGCGTGACATGATTTTAAAACTGAAAAGTGCCATGCCGCCGCCACTGCCATGCACGTGGTTCACAGTCCAGCCCCGCAAAAGGCAGAAGGTAGGGGAGCAGGAGCGGGGGGAGGGCAGGGGCTTGTATGGAGGGGGGGAGGAGGAAGAGGCTTGTGCGGAGGGGGAGGGGGAAGAGAGAGGAGGGCACCAAGAGACAGGCTGGAGGAGAGAAAAATGGCAAGAAGCCAAGTGCAGACAATGAGGGAAAGGGCAGGAGGGGAGGTGTCAGTGGGAGGGGGGAGAGAGTGATGCAGGGAGAGGAGAAGAGAGGGGAAGGGCATTGGGGGCTGGAGGGGAAGGTGCTGGGAGAAGGCTTGAAAGAAGGGATGGGCATGAGAGGCGGGGGAGGAGCAAGTCGTGTGAGGGCACAGAGGGGCATGAGGAGCCAAGTGCAGACAATGAGGGAAAGGGCAGGAGGGGAGGTGTCAGTGGGAGGGGGGAGAGAGTGATGCAGGGAGAGGAGAAGAGAGGGGAAGGGCATTGGGGGCTGGAGGGGAAGGTGCTGGGAGAAGGCTTGAAAGAAGGGATGGGCATGAGAGGCGGGGGAGGAGCAAGTCGTGTGAGGGCACAGAGGGGCATGAGGAGAATGGGGGCAAAGAGTGGTGAGGAGGTGGGCAACGTGGAAAAAGAGGGCAAAGGGGACAGGGGCAGTGAGGGAAAGGGGAGGCACGAGGAGGGTGCAGAGCTAAGGGAAGGTGCAGGTGCCAGGCAATTCTGGGCATGAAGCAGAAGAGCAGACACCTGCAGGGGAGGGACCAGCACCAGAGGAGAGAGGCAGGGCAGGTGTGTAGAGGGAGGTGTTAGAAGAGGGGTAGCTCACATGATCAGAGTGGGGCTACTGGAGGAGTGGGCACAGGGGGGAGAAAAAGGCTGGTGGAGGGGGGCAGGTCACAGGAGGGCTGAGGGCAGTGAAAAGGGCAGGAGTCAGGACAGCAGAGGAGGGGGAGGCGGTGGGGGAAAGAAAAGGGAAAGGTTTATAAAATATTTATTAATAACGTGGTATGCTGCCTACGGCCAGTTTGTTTGTGCCCCACGGTGCAGTTTGGGTTTATGTGGGGATCAACACGTGGCCGGCGAGTGAGAGCCAAAACAAAAAAGTAGTCAGTGTAACGATCTTCTGTTGATATGTGTTTTAGTAGTTAAATTCTTGGACTGTCATTGCTCATGAAAAGTGCTGTCACATGGGTAGAAATCGGGTAAATATTGAATTTTATTAATATCAGCAGAACTGACTTAAATGGGGCCTGTGTGTTGTGTAGTCTTTCCTTAATCTTTGTATTCATACTTGTCAGTGTAAGAGAAGCTATTTGTATATATGAGACAGACCGGGCCGGGCACAGATCTGGGCACAGCTGAGGGCGTCCGCTCAGGGCGAATTGCTCACATTTGGGCTCCTTACAGCCCCCAGACTGGTGACCTTTCCAAATAGGCCACAAACCAGTCCCACAGAGCGCTTCAGCTGCCTGCCTGAAGCCTCACGAGCAAAACCTCTCCGGCACCCCAGCAATATCCATGCCCCAGATAGCCCTGGGCCTTATACACAGGTAGGGGGGGTCTTAGAACCCAATCCCACCTTCCCCGAACAAGTTCTGTCCGGTTCCAAGAAACCAGCCACAGATCCCTGGTCAATTTACCCTCTGGACCTTACCACAAATCACGCTGGGCCAATCCTTTAGAATCTATATCTAAAGGTTTATTATTACAAGAAAGAAAAGCCTGAGAGTAAGGTTACTAAAGTACAGTACGTTACATGCACCGAATCTCCCAGTCCTCGATGCAGGCTCTAGCAGAGATGTTGCAGCTGCTGGTT